AGCACCCTTCTTTAGCAATGACGAATTGTAAAATTGTAAAAGTTATTTGGAAAAAAAAAATCACGTGAAAATTAAACATCGTTGGAGTGCTAACGTTTGTTACGTAAAAAGTTGCACAACGCTTGCCCGCACTTGAATATGCAAGAAAATCATAGAAAAGTTCTATACTATAACCAATTGGAAAACAGCGATTTTTACAAAATACAATTGGAAAGTCACTAAAAATGAAAACAGGTTGTAGCAGGTAAACGAATGGCGAAGCTGCTAGTGGGAAAAATGAGACTTTCAGCTTTAATATGATGTAATTAGTATGCGAGGTTCTTGAGTAATTCAATAAAAACTGAAGAGAAACGTCGTTCCTCGGTTATTTAATGAAAATTAGGTGACTTTATTACATAAGGGTGGCGCCCTTCCTACGCAATCTCGAACTGTAAGTTACGTAATTTTCGAGTCATTTTACCCGGGATTCAAATATCTCTGGACACTGTGAAATATCTCGTTGTGGAGTCCTAGTAGAGTTTTTAAGGAATTCTAGAGGTGAAGTTGGAGTTTTTATAATAATTCACTAGAAGATTATTAATAACTTCTATGTCTAGATTCTAGTTGCTAGGTTTGTTACTATGAGTCTAACTAGGACTTGGGAGGACTAAGACTCGGACTCTTTAGGACTTTGACTCCCTTTGCATTACATAAACATCCTGTTATATGTAGTAGTAGTGAATTAGCATAGTGGGAGTATTATATTTAGTAAGGGAATATAGTACCTAACTTTCTCTAATCATAAAGTGAAAAGGCAGATAAGGGTACATATTAGTAGTCATTATCGATTGGCCCTATGAATTTGTGCACAAAATGGTGATTAACAATAGCCCTTACACAATGATTAGTTATGTGATCTTCCTAAGTGATATGTGTACTAAGTCTTAATGACTTATTTAAATACACATGTATAAAATAATAAGGGCTAACATAATATAAACAATTATACGTAACAACTGGATTTTAAATAATATAAATATATACAGGCGGAAAGACTATGGTCAATAGCCATTTGTATGTTGTTACAACATTCATTTTTATTTATGTTTCTATAAATAAATATAAACAAATCACATTGTATTTGGACAAACAATTTTTATTAATTATGTTAGGCAACTTAATGTACGTCCATGTTTAATTTAATATCGTAGTATAGGATTATTCAAATGGCTATAATTATATTTATAGCTCACTATGTTCATGTGTACGTTTGCAATAAATATTAGTGATGTTTGCATTCATAATAAAGAATAAATTAACAAAGCGATAATAAATAAATATATTTAATTCGAAAGCGTTTAATGAAAGTTTATCCATCTAACATATAACTGCAATTATATACTGCTGTGTACGATTTGTACATATTTCTTTGGTTTTTGGTTCGTTGATGGACGCTTCGGAAATCTGTCGTGCTAGGGGATAAACTAATACTGTATTCGTGTAAGGTTTTCCGGATTCGTCGGGAAGTGCAGCCCGTAGGCGGATAATTGATATCTATGTCCGCATGCAGACATAAACTCTGGGAGTTTGGCCCGGAATTAAAGTGAGCACACACACACATTTTCCGAGGAAAAGGCTCCTTTTTCCCCCACAAAACTACATACCATCATCCTCCTGCACAACTCACCCTCTCTCTTTCTCTCGTTTACTCTCATATTATCTCCGTTTCTCTCATTCGCATTGCAAACTGTGGGCGGCAAAAGAAAACTGTTTCCACAGGAGAGAGAACCGTCCGGGACTCAATATTTAATGAGCCTTATTTATTAAAGGGAATAAAATACAGGCGAAAAAAGTGGATGTATGTGTGTGTTAGAGAGAGAGAGAGAAACTAAAGTAAATAAAAACGGTCGCGGCCGCCCACGATGATGGATGCGAGAATTCAGCTAATTGCCGAAACGCGATGGATTTGAAGCAATTAAACAGTTTATAATACAATAAATTGAGCACGATTAAAGCGACCGGACGGACGGATGTTGTTTGCATTTGCAAAACGGGATATTTGTTTAAACAAATACTGGGTGTAGCGTGTGTTTGGTTTTCGTTATTGAATAATTACGAGCAAATGGAACAAAAAAAATAATAACAATATAAACGATTAATTACAACCCGAAATTCTAACTGATTGGGCAACAAATAACAATTACTTTCCAGACGCGTGAGATCATTGAAAGAAAGCACACGCAAAATGCGAAAGTGTACGTGAATCGACGTCATCAACACCATCATCATCAACAACAGCAGCAGCAACAAACAACAACAACATCTTCTTCTTCGTCTGGAAGAAAGTCGAGGTCGAAGAAAGTTTCCGAATGTCATATTCAAATTTCATATGCGAATTTCGTCGAGGAAAAAAAAGAACGCGTTTCCCGTACTTCCGGTCGCGCATTGCCAACTCACTTTCCATTTCGACGAGCAGGGAAATTTCGTTACGTAATCGCGAAGATGTTTCACTTGACCGAAGAACTCAATTACCATCACCATTCATGTCTCATAATCACGATTCGTAACGTTCTAAACACGACAACATATCTATTTACTTATTTTTTGTTTTTAAATAAATCTTTAAACGTCGCGATTTTAAATCACGTATTTGGCCTTCATCATTCGAACAAAAAGGTGTCTTCACACTTACTTTATTATTATATTTTTTGGGAACATTACGGAATGATATATTATGCACTCTATATGCAAATTAGCGCTAAAACTGTAAGGAATAAAATTGTAAAATCTATGAGTTATCTATGAATTGCCATTAAAAACGCACATAATCGTAACAATTATTAATCGATTTTTCTGTTTCCTGCATTCGTTATAAACAATAGAGCGCTGAATTACAACATTTTGCATTAATAAACAACAACTAAAAACAAAAGAATACCGGATTTTCCAAAGGTCACTTGAATTAATGCAAATGCTCACACCTTTTCTGCTCCATTTACAACATTCGGATTTAGTCTAGATCAATTTATTCAAATAATAATAGAAATAATTGTTTATCTAATAATAAGATTACAACATAATCAATAGATTTGGGTCAATAGATTTGATAAAGCAACATTTATTGGATATCGAACAAAATAAATCAATCGGACACAATTTATTAGCTGGGAAAGGTTTGGTTGTTTGCCCAGAGTGAACAGATTTCAGTATCTTCATCTTCATAGAAGGAAAAAAAGGCCAATTGCTAAGTAATTGCAATTACCGGAGCGAGCGTAGAGAAAGGAGTAGGAATTTCGTCGCTTGTTTACTCTCGAGTCGTCCTCGCGTTCCTCGCCGTAGGCTTTCCGAAATGTTTTCTATTAGAAATCGATGAGATAAATAAAGTGCATTCCGCGAATAAAGTTCGTCACGTTTCTGCACAGTTTTTCCATACGTTTAATACTTCACTTTACGATCACCGCATTATCTTGAACGAAAGTAAAAACGTAACAAATATTAATGTTTCTTTTTATCATTTAATTATTTATAATTTTGATTTGATTAAAGTTTTGCTGTTTCTTTCTATTAGTTTTCGCTCCCAATTACTTCGAGTTCTTTTGTACATTTCATACAGTTCGAGTTTAATCTACGGACGAGAAACAAAAGGCTGGATGACACGAGGAGGCCGAATTAAATGCATTAGATAACTTTCTACCGACGTCCCACTTAATTAAACAGCGGCTCGCTAAAACTATTGTCTGTCGTTGTCCTTCTTTCGAACCATTCAACTAACGAAATTGTTACTCGTTTACATCATCAAATAAAAAAGAAAAAGAAAATTGCAACTATATTCGCTGCAAATTAAGAATGCTTTGGAGAAAGTTAAATTTATCAAGATAGACGTAGGAAACAAATGAAAAAATTTTGACGTTTCTACATCATCATGAAACGTAATCAATTTTGTTATTGACATTGAAATATTTTGTCAACATGATTTAAGTTGGTGTCTATTTTAAATTATCGATGGTCTTTTGTAAATAATAAACAAATTTTGTTTTGTATTCGAAATGAATCAACGTAAATATTGTGTGCAACTGTAAGTAATTCTTCGCGTTTTAAAAATACACGTTGAACGTGAACGGATGTGCTCGCAATGAATTAAAATTGTTGCTTAAATGTGCAGTTACGTAATCGTTTTTTTAGTGACTTTATTTATTTTAGTTGGTACGAGCAGCCATTGTTTAAATTGCGATTCTCTTTTGTAAATAGATAAACAAATATTGTTTTGTCGACATCAAAAGTGTTTTATGAATTGTGCGAAGCGAATCAAGTTAAATTTTTGCATAGTGTGCAAACTTAAGTACTTCTGTAAGTTGTCTAAGTGGAAACGGATGTGTTAAAATTGTATTTACGTGAGTAACCACCATAATGAACTAATACTAATATCACTTAGGTTGGTATATCATGAAAGTACGCCCATTTTTTTTTTAATTTCATAATCGCGATTGTGTTTTGTAATTAATAAACAAATTTGACAAGAGACGATGAAATAAATAAAAAAAATGTAAAGTATTTGCACGAAGTAGAAGAAACGTTGTTTGGATGTGTGGGCAAAAGTACTTGTCCAAGTTGCTAAATGTATTTCGTGTTGATTTGCAAGTTATTGGTTTGAGTATAAAGTAATTGTTTTGGTCGAAGCCAACTTGAGCATCTTCGGAGAAAGTTTCTGGTCAAGGCAACATGAAAATGCTGTCATCTGCAGAAATTGGGATGTTTATCTGCTCCTCTTTGTTGTTATTGTAGTGATTCGTGTTGTGAGTATATGTTAATAATAATAATAATAATGCTGGTGATAATGAAATATTGTAGATAAACGTAGCGGTAATCACGTGGCCGTGCAGTCCAATGGAACCGCGACCTGTGGCTCTTTAGACTCTCCATCTCCGTTGCACTCGGCGAGGTGAGCCGCGTCTTCCGAAGGTCAAAGGGAGACGGGAACAGCGCGACTCGGTGGATCGGATTGGATTGGAGAGGAACAGCGTGGCAAAGGCAAAAGCGTCGTGGCAAGTGGCGCGAGTTCATTGCGCCAGTTTCGAAGTTGATCACGGCGTGGAAAGACCACCACCTCCAAGCTCATCTCCAGCCCAGCCTAGACATATAGACAGACAGACAGACATCTGAACGCTCCACGTAAACACGTATCAAATCGAATAGAAATGAAGCTTTTACACTTGGTGGTGATCGTCGCCGCCGTAGCCGTGGCTCACGCCGAGGAGCTCAAGGTGGACGTGGTGAGCGTGCCCGAAGGATGCGAAGTTAAGAGCAAGAACGGAGACATGCTGACCATGCACTACACCGGCACCCTTGCCGACGGCACTAAATTTGACTCCAGGTAAATTTTAAACCCATTTTTCATTTTTTTTTGTACGCGTAAATACATCGACCAACTGGTCGCGAATTCATTAAATCGCACAAAACCGGCCGCATCAAGGTTACATTCGGAACAAAAAGCATACCAGTCGCTAACAGTTAATAATGAAACGAAAATGGAGTGCATTCGACGCTGGAAAAAAAAAAACGTGAATAGCTCTATAAAAATAGAATACTTAATTGGGTTTACACATACCAAAAAAAACGCGTCTGCATAACATATGCCGCAACAGAAATTTGGTTGAATACATTTACTGCTGCTGATGCTTCGCTTTAGGAGAAGGCGGCAATGATAAGCATAGATATTCTGTTATTGAGTGTACGATAACGATTACACACAGTTCATGTAAACCGTGTCAATACGTAACTTTAAACATATAATTGTATAATACATACATCCCATCCTGTTCGCCAAAGATAACTCATCAACTTTGAATCTCAATATTAAACTTAATCCCTTTCCCTCAGAAGTTTGACACACTTCGTAAAGTTTGCATGAACATTTTTTTTTTAAATTCTCATTCTTGTTTCTCGACAACTTAATTCTTCATCTTTTTAAACGAATCACTACTTAATATTCATCTCAGGAATGTCTGCAAAAGCAGCAAATGATTCATGTCTATTATTAAAATTATTCATTAATATTTTAAATACGATTTACATTAGAAAATTTTAAGAATTGGAAATTCAAGGAGACTTCTTGACTCATAAAATTTACCGTTGAAAAAAATTCATAGATTTCCATGTGTGGGTAAATGACCTTTTTCTACTGTCTACGTGAATATTTGGGGGTCATTCAACTACTCAAAGCTTATATAATGAAGAACTGTTTTATAATAGTCAGCTTCAATATATTACTATCATGTGTATTGGAGATTTCATAAAATACAAAATTTGTTTCAATTAAGTAAATCGAATTGATGAATATTGATGAAGATGCTGAGGTATAAATAAATAAATATAGAAAGTATTTCGGGGAAAAAGTTTTGCAATTAATTAAAAGCAATTATGAACGCGAATTGGAAACGAAACGTACGTAGCGAATTTCTATTTATTTAGAAAACGCAATGGAAAATCTCTTCTTTCTCGTAAACATGTTTCAAAGTTAATGATGATGAATCGTGTGTACATTTTTAATTACTTTATTATCGTCGTTATGTTTTTCATTTGAATTTGTGTGGAATTCGATGAACATTTGCGTGTAGAGAAGCGCGGTTGTGTGACCGGGATTCTTGAATTTCTTGGATTTCGCTAATTGTGCAAAGGTGAGCACCAGCATAATTGAAACGTTGCTGTATGCCTAATTGGGCGACGAAAGTTTCTTCATGCCTTTTAATTATATAAACGCGTAATTGAAACACGATAAAGAATTGCATAAAAATTGTGAATAATTGAGCATAAAAAAATGTCGTTTTACAATCAGATAAAACTTGTTTTTTAAGGTCAACAAATTAAAAAGTTAATTATCGTGTGTTTCTCAACCAAAGGAAAAAAAGAAATTACTCTGCGTCGATGTTTTAATTAACCAATACATTGCTTTGAGCAGTTCAAAATTATAGCTAATTAAACGTCATTGTTTCGAAATTGAAATAATACTAATAATATTAGTAAATAGAAAAAAATGCATAGTTTTGCGGTGTTAGTATGAGCGGAAATTGCATATTAATTAAATGCTATTGTTTCGAAATTGATGCTAAAAGTAATGATGCTATAATTTAATTTTAACCGTGTCTATTAAGTTTTTACGTGCGAATGAAACAACAATAAAAAAAGATAGCTTAATTCTAGTGACAAAAGAAATTGTTATTGTTGTGTTGTAATGGTAATGTTTTTAATTGCAGTAAGCGTTTGACAATTTTAAATGATTACAATAAGAATTGTAGAAGAAATTTAAATATTTTAAAAGTTGAGATTACGTAATTAATTGTGATTTAAATTGTATTTCTGTAATAATGGGTGTGATGTGCGTTTGACAGTTTGTGAATGAATGATGGCGTACTTTGCTTGAGAATGGAATTAATTAATGAATATGCACGTTATTATTGTAATTAGGGATTTAATTGATTAATGAATATTTAGTGCAGTTAATGGTAAAGTTTAATGCAGTTTTAAATTAGCGAGAGCATAAGCAGCAGATACACTAACTCCCATTCACCCTTGCAGGATGGTGCGGTATCAAAACGAATGGTTTTAGTTTTCATTTGATTGTGGTAAAGTGTATGTTTGTGTGTGTTTGCATTGGGAGGCGGTAAGTGGCGTTTAGTCTTCCTCGGTTGCATGTGTATGCGTTATCTAAGCGGGTGGGTAAGGAAAGATGTGTGTGTGTAGACGAGGGTTGGGTTGTTGGTGTTTGGTCGCGGGAAGCGAGCGATGAGTGGCGTCGGAACAGGGAAATACCATTACATTTCCCCCAGGATGCGTTACAAATCCTGGAAAGAAGAGGTGTTGTAAACTCCCGGAAACTGACACCGCTTTTCCACCCTCTCTTGCCTCCTCTGCACCTAAACCGCTACTCTTCTCTTTCCTCTCGCCACGCTTCACAATCCACCAACCCTCGCTGAGAAACTGTATGAAAATTTATATATGGCCTTTAATATTTCGTTTCACGTGTGGCACTTGTCATAATTTTTATTTCCCTCTTACCACACACACACACATCCCCCCACTAAGAACCTAAAAAAAACAAGAGCGAGAGAAAAATAAAAACAACACACTACTCCCCCTTTTTACAGCTACAAGAATTTTCGTAAAACACACCTTCTCCCCATGGCAAGAGAGGATTTCGTCGTGTTGACAGGACCGACGGTGGCGCCCGTTATTAATGTCCTTTTTCTGGGACACGAACCGAAATCCTCCCTTATACTTATTGTTATTTCTCTTGAAGCTTTTCACGTTCTCTTCTCTTGTTGTTGTTTTTTTTGTTTGCTCTGTTTAAAGTTTCGGTTTCGTTAGTGTTTATTTATTTTCGTTCTGTAATGAAATGAAATTTAATTGGAGCGAATCCGCAGATGATGCGTCGTCGAAACTAATTTCAACTTTTCCTGCGTGTTAAAATAATCCGAAACAACTTTTCGTCCGTGCACGCACTCTCATTTGTTTGTTGTTGTTGTTTTTTTTTGTGACGCCGCAATCAACCCTTGTTAAAATCGTGAAACGTAATTAATTTTCAACGGCGAAACGGTTCGGAAATTTTCATAAAACCGCAAATTAAACGGCGATTGTTGGTTCGAATTGAATGAATCTCTCGCAATTAATTGCGGGCGACGTGCAAAATCCGTTTCGAAGGAATTTCAACGATTGTGCAAAGTAATCTGAATTATTTTATATTTTATTTGCATCTTGTTTTTGCATAATTTTAGATTTACATTTTACACGTGTCATTATTTGTAATTATTGATGAAGATGCTAAGAGAGTATTAATATACTTGTACTTCTTGCTAAGATAATCTATATATAAAGATTAATCTTTGTTTACATGGGATTCTCAGTTTAGTTCGTTTCCTGAAAGAATACACTTCATATGATGTTGTCTAATTTAGTAAGAAAAGATTCTAAAATCTTGAAGCAATTGATTTTCTTGTTGTAAGTCTTTGAAATTTATGTTTACGTATCTTCAATTACAATTGAAAGTGTTAAAACTGTCAACTGTGTTTCCTGATAATTACCATGAATACATACTGGTGCTTTCTAATTTGATTAGCGGATGCGGATGTGCGTGGGAAACACCGTGAACCGAAGAAGTGTGTACAATTGTTTGTTTGGTTTGGGCGTTTTTGTTTGGTTCATCGAAGTCAATTTACGGTTAATCCGGGGTGCCGAACTCTGTGCGCGTTTGTTGCAGTCGTAATTCGATGGTTACGCGAGGCGGATTGAATTAATGGATTTTTGATCTAATCATAAATCCGTTACAGCCCATAAGCCGAGGCGCGATCATTTTTCGAACCCAAACGTGACGCGAAACCCAATTAATGGCATCCTCCTCATCGCGGATGGTCATTGTCACACCTTCCACTCACTTTTTCTCTCTTTCCATCCAAACGAGGATCGATGCAAAAGTTTGGGTTACAACCAATAAAATTCCAAAAGAATACGTAATTTACATCTATCTAACGGGATGTTGTCTTTACCGTTTTTTTTTCTTTCTTTGCATATTGTTGTTCTTGTTGATGATGCTGTGAGGATTACAGTTTGTAGAGGAGACGACGGATGTTGAGATGCGAACTTATAAATATATGAGATTGTTGTGGGGGCGTCGTGTAAGCTGCGGCGAAAATTAATTATTAGCCAAGTTATAATGCTTGCGAGGATAATCCAACTAAATGGGAATGATTTCGTCGGTTTACTGCGGATTTACCGTGAATATTGTACAGTCGAATGGACGATGATGCGTTCCGTTTCGGACGAAGAAAAAGGAGTTAAGTAAATATGCTCGACGGGGCATCGCGTAATCTATGTTTCGTTCCATTTCGCGCAATCTAAAATTCAAATTGTTATAGTTCAACGCGAGAAATGGGACCGAGGATAAATAGAAAGAAGCAACGATGACGATGATGAGAATAACAAGATAAGCGTCTTCTACGGATTGTTGCACTTTGTTTTTATGCATTATGCAACTGCAATTCATTACACAACACTTTTTATAATACTATTAGTAAATTAGCACTTCTTCAGTTGTGCTAACGCGATAAAATTTGACTTGGATTTGAATCTATTTTGTATTGAATACGAAATACTAAATTTCTACTTCGAGGCAATGATCTTACGGTGGATCAATTCCGCTTTGCAAATTTACACCTCTTGCTGCTTATGTTTCGTCTCGGATGCGGTGTTCCTTTGGTATATTTATAAACCTAGTTGTTTTCGTTCTTGCAATTAAATAGAATATTATATGAAGTGAATTAATTAGAAGTTAATTGGTTTATTGCAAAAATTGGTATTATTATGTAGACTTGTAGTTTATAT